AAGAAAAGTGAATCCAGGGCAAATAGACCTGCCTGGATCCCCAAAAGACAGAATGACATCAGCAGGAGCAACATGAGTAGAGGTCTTTAGTGAGGATGGTGGCCATAGCTAAAGCAGTGGCTAATTTCACTCCCCTTGGTTCTGCTTTCCTGATAGTGTCTTTCATTTGCTTGTAAACACAAGCCAGCTGTCAAGGAAATGATATAAACATGATATAAATATAAGTTATCTTCCAGGAGTAGAAATCACTATGAAGAAAGATAAAAGATATGATAGCAAATGGAAACAATATAGCATACCCTTGAGAAATTCAAGATGTGGGTTAACCTGGAAAACTAGAAAAAGAATTGCATTTTATATATGTAGATATGGAAAACTCCTGAGTGTATCGATCACCAATTTTCCAAGCTGCTATTAAAATTGCACTTGAAGAACAAAGCTAAATATTTCCTGTGTCACATGCAATAAGTGTTTTGAGTATAGTAGTGACATTAGATCTTACTTCTTTCTTTGATATCTCATCCCACTCTGAACCATGTGTCCTTTCCTCTTAGTGTCTATGTTTCACTTCTACCTTATTTCAAAGTGCATAAAACAATACAAAACCGGTTAAAGGACTGCAGTGTTCAAGGTGATCAAATTCTCTAGGTAAACAGGTCTTTCCAGGCAAAAATATATTAGAACTTGTCTTTCTACAATACCATCAGTTTCTGCTTTCTTTAAACCTTAATAATCATTAGATATCAAAAGTATAATGAGTATTATTTTTCTAAGCCCTGAGATAATTTTTGGGAATATGAACATGTGTTAGATATAGCTTCTTTCTTTGGTGAACAAGACTAGAAAGTGTGTTCACTTTCCTGTCGCAGTGCTGGGCACCAAGTCTGACTTGAACCTATCCATGCCTTCCTTGTACATGCGGTCAGTTCATGGCTTATCAAGTCTCAGATTCCTGGCCACTTTAACAGTTTTAGGCATAGGTTCTAATTCATAGAGTGAATCCAAAAAAGATGTGGTTGGCTTCCCCCATAACATTTGTGACATCATTGCACCAGTATGCGTTGCAGGGATGTCACTGCTGTAGGTTGCAGGATTTGTAGCATGATGATCCATGCTTCCCTTTCGCCTCAGGTAGCATGCAGGATACAGTCTAGTACCATGAAGGCTATTCAGTAGGTATAAAGCTTCAGTATTGCCTTCAGCAATAGGGCCTTATCATCATGTTGTAGGAAGCAAAGGATTGCCTTGGCAAAAGCCTTGGATGTTTGGGGGACTCCATGGAAAATCTTTGTCAAATGACTCAACAAGGTGTAATTCATTTCTGGCACTAGATGTTTTACTTGGTGGTACATAATGTATAGACTAGGCATATATCCCTACTATATTGTGACTCAATTTAGATTCCCTTCTTCTATGCACATATTTTAGGAATCTTTTACAATATTAGGTTTCCATACAGTTTTTCAAATGCTCTATAGTGTTGATTAGTTGCCTTTCACTATAGTTTATCCAGTATAAAATTTTAAAAAATAAAATAAAATCACTGAACTCTAGTTTAAAAATCCCAAGCCTTGAAAAACATGCTTATTTCATAAGCATCTATTGTACTAAAGAGTTTTTAGAAAAATTTCCAAGTTCTGAGAGCTATAAAGAAATTAATACATGTAGCTTCTGTCCGAGCTTACACTGTAATGCAAAATAGACAAGAATCAGATAATTTAATAAAATATTTAACTATGGTTGTAATCATGACTCTTAATAAGTACAGTGTGTTCTAAGGCAATACGATATCAGTATTACTCTAGTCTAGAAGATCTCTGATGATTTCCAGAGGAAATGAATTCCAGCCATGATTAGATGAATGTTATCTTGGTAAAGGAAGGAAGAATGTTAGAACAGAAGAAGAGTGTTTATAAGTAGTGAGAACAGAATATTCAAAGATCTTTAACAGCAAAGCAAATAGCACATTTTAAAGAACTATACTAAACAAGTCATCAGAACAGATGAAAAAGAAGAGACACATTAGTGAGTTAAATCATGCGTGACCCTCTTCAAGATTTTGAACTTAAGATCAATGTAAAGGCGCCAAAGTATTTAAATTAGGGAACTATTTTAATAATGTTTGCATTTTATTGAAACTGTATATGCTACGTAAAGCTAATGGAGCGAAAAATTGGAGAGGAGTTAGAACACTTATAAGATTAAGAATTATCACTGTCTGGAAGATATTATCATTGATGATGGTTAAATTTACTGACTTAATGTTACTGAGAACCATGTAATTTAGTGAAACACATCTGGGTCCAGTGTAGTAACTAATAGGAAAGAACCTGCCTGAATGTGGTGAATCTCATCCTATAGCCCAGGGCCAGATGGAATATCCAAAGGAAGGGGTTTTTTAGATAGTGTAGGCGTCTCTGTTTCAGCTTCCTGGCACCATGATCTGAGCTCCAGTGCAAAACCAGACGCTCCTGTCTTGGCTTTGCTAGAGAACATAAATAAATTATTTCTAGACATTGCCAATTGGTTGAAACTGTTCAAGAAGCAGGCTCAACCCATGAAGTTAAAACTTGTCCTTTTTTTTTTTTACTTCTTACATAAATTTGACAACTATTGAATAATAGTACCTTAACAAAAAGAAAAGGTATATAGCAAATATCTATGGAAAAGATGATATATACTGGATAATTTTCAGTAGATTGTATCATATAAATAAATTCTTCAATTACAAGGCTGGGGAAGACATTTTTTAAATACTGAAAGGAATAAATGCCTACCTTTCAAAAATCTGCTTCAAAATTATAATCCAATAATGGCATATTTTTTATTTCCTTCTTCAAGCACTTCTATATTTTTTGAACTTCATATATGGAACACATATTGTTCCTCAAGCAATTAAAAATAATCCTATGTGTTTTTAAATTACCTTCAACATCTATCTTCCAATGAGTTAAGCCTAAAGTGAGTGTCCTGCTGCTCCAATTTAAATGTGTTTCCTCAGCTGAATCTGCAGAGTTAGTCAGGAAGAGTCTAGCTTTCTAACAGCAGGAAATCTAACATATCATCTTTTCTGAAAGAGCTAAAATTGGTTACCAGAAAATTCTCCAATTGCATGAATTGTTTAGTTTTCAGAGAAAATGCTGGTTTCTAGCTTAGTTTTAACAAAGTGGAGAATATGAAATTTTTCTGGAGTGTATAGTGTTTAAAAATGAGAGCAACATAACTATGTGAAGAGAAGTAATTACAGTTATTTTTTCAAAAGATGTTGGTGTTAAAATGACAATTAATTCTGTTGTGTGGTTTAACACACATTGTGATTGCTTATTTCAAGAAGATAAACCAGACATTCAAACATACAGTATTTCTAGAAATGACTTCCTCTCAAAATTTTATCACCTCTATATGTGCACTATGGCATGTAATGCAAATACACACAAATGAATAAGTAAATTTAAATGAAAATTATTTCCCTTATATTCTTTTATTTAACTTTCAAAAATAGCTAGCTGAATAATATTTATTTGAAATATTTATATGTCTAACACTAATAGTTTCCACATCTGCAAGTGGGAGATATTCTACTTGGTAAAGTAAAATCCTCATAAAATAAATATATCTATATTACATTACAGAAACAGAGAATGATTTGTGTAGCTGAAACACATGCTCTTATTTTAAGCAAGAAAATGGAAAATATGGTCAAGCTGATGGACTTTCAGAGGAATACACATTCCTGACAATTTCATTGAAAGAGAGTCTTCCTCTTGAGATCTGTGAAGCCTGTGAGCAGAAGCAGTGGGAAGCATTACCCACCAGACCTAGACATGTCTCTATTCTTAGACTCTGGATACAATTCCCATACCATACTATGCTGTTTTGCCATAGATACCATTTTATTGTTCGATAGTTGTAACTAATAATAACAAGTTGACATAAAGTCAAATTCTAGTCAGTTTTCCTAATTCCAGGTGCAGAGCATGAGAGAATAAGAATCCTCATTCTTGAAAACAGTACTTAAACTTAGAAACACTCACCTAAGCTATAGAACACTTTCTGTTCGAAAATAAAGTCCTGTAAATACCATACTATATAGATATTACTGTATGATTCTCTTTTATGTTCCTTAAGCCGTGTGCATGTGTGTGTGTGTGTGTGTGTTTATGTGTGTCTGTGTGTACTTTTGCGCATACACGCACATGTGCTTGTTCATGTGAGTGTACATGACATGGCATGTATGGAGACATTAGAGATCTATGGACAACTTGTGGAAGTTGATTCTGTCATTCCATCATGTGGGGGTCGAAATCAGGTAGTCAGGGGTGGAGGTATGTACACTTACCTGCTGAGCCATCCCTGTGGTCCTATTTATTTATTTTAAAGGTGACCAACTAGTTCTAGCAAAATGATAAATCACTCTGTATGTCAATTTCAGGAAGAATTCAGAAAACAGAGGTGTATTATTGTGAGATATGTATAAACACTATAGGATCTCATATTTTATTCTTTTAAACTTGTCGAAAGTAAATACTAAATTTTTGCATTGTATTGAGTTGTATAATATTTTGAAAAGCTGGCTTCATATATTGCCAAGGAAGCATTGAGTTTCTAATCTCAAGGTTAATCTCAACTGGCTTCAGTTTGGTAGGCAGTACACACTAGATACTAACATCACTAAATACAGCTAAAAGCAGTGATTTCCTGACACTATGTCAATTATCAAAATATTTTTTGTAGAAAATTTCCACATATTGTTAATCTCGCATACTAGAAATTTTTGTATTTTTAATTCCACAGATTTAGAAAGAATACATGCATCAACGCCATTAATTTAAGAGGCACTGAAAACATTCTTCACATTAATTCCTCCTTTTGCTTGGATGGGTATAAAATAGCCAGTAAGAAAAAAATAGATCAACATTCAAAAGAAAGTAAATTTTAGGGAGGTAAATCAAACGTGGTAAGTAAACCTCAACACTAGTATTAAATAGAGTATTACTTACGGATACACTTCTGAAAGCTGCTCAGCTATAGTATAAGCCACTGGGTCTCGGTCTAAGGCATAGACAGTAACATCTGGTTCCTTCTGCAGAATGGCTTTTGTGTGTCCTCCAGATCCGAATGTCATGTCTAGAAAAACCTTACCAATACAGAAAAAGAGAATTTTTCTTTAGCATGAACATAACATTGTTGCAACTACTTTAATTTACAGTAGCAGAAAATTATAAAGATAAGAGAAATATAAAAATAGTATTGGTTGTCCTAAATTTTTTATTTTTCAGAATTGAGAGTTGGATTTACTTTGTGCTATAAGCACACACACACACACACATACATACACAAACACACACACATACACGCACACTAAGAAACAACACAGAAACCTGATTACATTATCAGCAAAATAATACATTGCATACACTAGAAAACCAAGACACATAATTTTTTTACCATGAGGTCAAATTGGTCAGATGGTGGTAATGTTTTCGTGCTTCATAGCTAGCTGACAACAAGAATTATTTCTAAAAACTTATCATTGGAGATGGCTTAAAATTGGTGTATCTCACTTCATAATGATTTTATTTAACTACTTTAAATAGTCAATGAAAGTGGGAATGAGAAGAGATGTTCCTAGAAATAGTCACAGAACTAATATACATACATGTGTGTGTGTGTGTTTGTGTGTGTGTAATCTGAAAAATAAAACAAATAGCACACAAGATCAAAAAAAAAAGTAAAACGCTTTTTATGTTTAAAAACTTGAGACAAATTCCAAGCTTATAGTAAAATTCAGTGAGCATGTTTACATTAGGTATGAATGTTTGGAGAAAAATCACCAAAGCAATACAATTCACAAACCTTCAAATTTTTCCAGTATTCAAAAGCAAGGAGGATAAAGGACACGAGAAACATTATACAGACTGGGCAGGTTCTATTTATGCATATAAACATGTATGCTACAGCAATTAATGAGAAATTAGGGAGGACTATATGGGAAGGTTTGGAGATAAGAGAAGGAGGGGTGATTTAATTATAGTCTAAATTTTTTAATTTTAATTATTTATTTATATTTCAGTCATTCCCCATCTCAGTTTCCTGTCTCCCAGTTCCTCATCCCACTCCTCCGCCCCCTTGACTCAAAGAGGGTGCTTCCCCTCCTCACCAGGTCTCCCCCTTCCCTGGGGCCTCAAATCTCTCCAAGATAAAGCACATCTTCTTCCACTGATGGCAGACCAGGGAGACCTCTGCTGTATATGTGGCAGGGGGCTCTGACCAGCCCATGTATGCTCCTGGTTGGTGTCTGTCTCTGGGAGCTCCCTGAGATCTGAGTTAGCTAAGACTGCTAGTCTTCCTATGGGGTCCCTCTCCTCTTCAGCTTTCTTTAATCCTTCTCCTACTTCAACAACAGAGGTTCCCAACTTGAGTCCAATGTTAGGGTGTAAGTATCTCCATTTGTCTCAGTCAGCTGTTGGTAGGGCCTCTCAGAGGACAGCCATGTCAGGCTTCCCTTTGTAAGTACATCATAGCATCAGTAATAATGCCAGGCCTTGGTGCCCAGCCAAGAGATGGATCCCAAGTTGGGCTGGTCATTGGACCTCCATTCCCTCAGTCTCTTCTCCATTTTTGTCACTGTAGTTCTTTTAGACAGGAACAATTATGGGTCAGAAATGTTGACTGTGGATTAGTAACACCATTCCTCCACTTGAGGCTCTGCCTATTTACTAGAGGTAGACTCTTTAATTTCTCTATACCCAGTGCTGGGCATTTGGGTTAAGGTCACTCTCACTGAGTCCTGAGAGTCTCTCACCTCCTAGATCTCTGGTACTTTCTAGAGGGGCCCCCACCCCGGCTCCCATGTCCTAGAAACACTCATTTCCATTCATTCTTCTGACTCTCTGAGCTTCACCTTTCCCCTCGACTCCCCACACCATACCTGATCCTGTTCCCCTTTTTACTTGTCCCTCTCCTCTCAAATCCAGGTCTCTCACTCCCTCTGCCTTCTGTGATTATTTTCTTCCCCCTTTAAAGTGAGATTGAAGCATCCTCACTTTGGCATTTCTGCTTGTTACACTTCTTCCAGTCTGTGGGTGCTATCCTTGGGTATTCTGTACTTTGGGCAATATCCATCCACTTATTAGTGAGTACATACCATTTCCTTTTGAATGTGGGTTACCTCATTCAGGATATTTTTTAGTTCCACCCATTTGCCTGTAAAATTCATGATGTCCTCGTCTTTAATAGCTGAGTAGTATTTCACGTGTAAATGACCTACATCTTTTCTATCCATTTTTGGTTGAGGGACATCTGTGTTGTTTCCAGATGCTGGCTATTACAAACAAGGCTGTTATGAACACAGTGGAGCACATATCCTTGTGGTATGGTGGAGGATCTTTTAGGTATATGGCGAAGAGTGGTATAGCTAGATCTTCAGGTAGAACTATTTCAAATTTTCTGAGGAACTGCTAGACTGATTTCCAGAGTGGTTGTACCAGTTTGCAATCATAACAGCAATGGAGGAGTACTCCTTTCTCCACATCCTGGCAAGCATGTTCTATCACTTGAGTTTGTGATCTTAGCCATTCTAATTGGTACGAGGTGGAGTTTCGGGGTCATTTTGATGTGCACTTCTCTGATGACTAAGGACTTTGGACATTTCTTTAAGTGCTTCTCAGCCATTTGTGATTCTTCTGTTGTGAATTCACTGTTTAGCACCATACCCTATTTTATAATTGGGTTGTTTGGGTTTTTTGAAGGTGAAGCTCTTGAGTTCTTTATATATTTTGGATATGAGCCCTCTATTGGATGTAGGGCTAGAGATGATGTTTTTTTTTTCCCAATCTGTAGGTTTCTGATATATCCTTTTCCCTTGCAGAAGCTTTTCAGTTTCATGAGTTCCCATTAATCAATTCTTCATTTTAGAGTCTGAGCCATTGGTGATTAGTTCAGAAAATCCCCCCCTACCCGTGGCAATGAGTTTGAGGCTCTTTCCTACTTTGTCTCCTATTACATTCAGTGTATCTAGTTTTATGTTAATGTCCTTGATACACTTGGACTTGAGTTTTGTACAAGATGATAAATATGGATATATTTTCATTTGCCTAAATATAGACCACTAGTTAGACCAGCATCATTTATTGACGATGCTTCCTTTTTTCCATTAGATATTTTTGGCTTCTTTGTCAAAGATCAAGTCCATAGGTATGTGGGTTTACTTTCAGTTCTATTCCACTGATCTAACTGTTGGTCTCTGTACCAATACCATTCATATTTTTAAAATCACTATTGCTTTGTAGTGTACCTTGAGGTCAGGGATGGTGATTCCCCAGAAGATCTTTAATTGTTAAGAATTGTTTTGGCTATCCTGGGTTTTTGGTTTTTCCATATGAACCTGAGAATTGCTCTTTCCATGTCTGTGAAGAATTGTGTTAGAATTTTGATGGAGATTATACTGAATCTGTTGATTGTTTTTGGTAAGAGGGCCATTTTCATTATGTTAATCCCCATCTATCCATAAGCATGGGTGATCTTTCCATCTTCTCAGATCTTCTTCAATTTTCTTTTTTAGGAATTTGAAGTTTTTGTCATACAGTACTTTCACTACTTGATCATGATGTATGATTGTTTTGATGTGTTCTTGGATTCTGTTTGCTAGAATTTTATTGTGTATATTTGCATCAATATTCATAAGGAAGATTGATCTAAAGTTCTCTTTCTTTGTTGGGTCTTTGTGGGGTTTAGGTATGAGCATAATTTTGGCTTCATAGAAGGAATTGGGTAGTATTCATTCTGTTTCTATTTTGTGGAATAGTTTGAAGAGAATTGGCATTAGGTCTTCATTGAAGGTCTGTTAAAATTGGGCACTAGAACCATCTGGTCCTGGGCTTTTTTGGTGGGGAGACTTTTAATGACTGCTGCTATTTCTCTATGGGTTATGGGACTGTTTAGATGGCTTATTTGCTCCTGATTTGACTTTGGTACCTGACACTCATCTAAAAAATTATCCATTTCATCCAGACTTTCCAGTTTTGTTGAGTATAGGCTTTTGTAGTAGGATCTGATAATTTTTTGAATTTTCTCAGTTTTTGTTGTTATGTTTCCCTTTTGAGTTCTCATTTAATTAATTTGGATACTGTTTCTGTGCCCTCTGGTTAGTCAATAGTGTTGATTTACTCAAAGACCCAGCTCCTGGCTTAATTGATTCTTTATACAGTTCTTTTTGTTTCTACTTGGTTGACTTCAGCCCTGAGTTTGATTATTTCCTGCCATCTACTCCTCTTGGATGTATTTGCTTCTTTTTATTCTAGAACTTTCAGGTATACTGTCAAGTTGCTACTGTATGATCTCTCCAGTTTCTTTTTGTAGGCACTTAGAACCTCTTAGTTTTCCTCTTAGCACTGCTTTCATTGTGTCCCATAAGTTTTGGTATGAAGAGCCTTCAGCTAACCATTGAACTGATCATGGGGTTCCCAATGGAGAAGTTAGAGAAAAGACTGAAGGAGCTGAAGGGGTTTGCGGCCCCTTGAGGAGAGCAACAATACCAACCACCCAGAGCTCCCAGGGTCTAAACCACCAGCCTGGGAGCACATAGGGAGGGACACATGGCTCCACATAGTTAGGGGAGGATGTCCTTGTCAGGCAAAGGTGGGAGAGGAAGTCCTTGGTCCCATGAAAGCTGGATGCCCTAGTGTTGGGGGATTGGTCGGCAGGGAGGCAGGAGTGGGTGGGTGGGAGCATGTCATCATAGAAGCAGGAGGAGGAGTATGGGATAGGAGGTTTTTGGGTGCAGGGGAAATGGAGAAAGGGGCTAAAATCTGAAATGTAAATAAAATATCCAATAAAAAAAGTAATTAAAAATTAAAAAAAGAGTTATACCAAGATATTTTATACTATTGTTGGCTATTATTATTGTTATACTATTGTGAAGGATGTTATTTCCCTCATTTCTTTCTCAGCCTATTTATCATCTGAATAAAGGCAGGCTACTGACTTGTTTAAGTTAATTTATATCCTGCCACTTTGTTGAATTAGTTTACAAGCTGTAGGAGTTCTCTGGAGGGATTTGGGGGATTGCTTTTGTATACTATAATACTGTCTGCAAATAGTGATACTTTGACTTCTATAATATGCCATTCTGTGCTA